CTAGGATCAATATTATAGAATAAAAAAGGAGTTAATTAGAATGCATTAATAAATGATTATGACACAAGGATGACCTGTCCTCAGCCTCACCCTTCAGATCTTTCAAAAGTATATCCATTGGTGCTGTAATTGAGTCCATCCACTTTGCTTCTAATCATTTTCTTTTTGTTTTTATCTTTCCCATCTTTTTAGACATCTGAAGAGATCTAGGTTTTCATATAATGCATCCAAAATGTGATAAACCATCAGGCTAGTATCCTCAATTTAGCACTGGTAATTAATATTTCTTACTCTAGTTTTAAAACCACAGATTCATCTTTTTCTTGTCCAAACCTCCTCAATTTATATTCAGTGTATATATTGAATGAAAAAGGGGAGAATATACAACCTTCTCTCATTCTTTTGCTGACTTAGAACCAGTCTGTTTCATCATTTTTCCTTCTTGACTATGTATAAGGTTCTCATGAGGACAATTAGAAGTTCTGGGATCCCATTTCCCCCACGTATGTTCACAGCTTGTCATGGCTGACATAAATGCCTTTCTATAACCAATGAGGCATATACTGACTTTCTAAATTATCTTGTGTACATCAACAATAATGCCTTTTGTAAAACCAGCTTGAACATTTGGCATCTCTCCCTTCCAATGTAAGGTCCTAATCTGCATTGGACAATCCTAAACATCATTTTGTTAACATGTGAAATTAAGGGTATTCTATAATAGATTGCATATTCTGTTAAGTCTCCTTTCTTTGATACTGACTAACATCTTCCAATCTGTGGTCACTGTGCCATATTTCTATAGCTATTCCATCAATTCCTGTAATTATCCAACTTGGTAATGACTTGAGTGCCGAACTAAATCCTGAACATGCTCTTATACAGTGTCAGTTAAAACAGTTGCTTACCCAGACAGTACAACTTGTCTGTTGTGGCAGCAATGCTCTGGAACAGTCTTCCTTTAGTGATTTCAGTTGTCCTAGCCCTATTGTCTTTTAAACCAGCAGTTGAAGACCTGGTTCTTTTCCCAAACTCTGGGTTAAAAAGCATGTGCCTTTGGGGGGGGGGACTTCATTAATATGTTGGGTATGTTAGTCCCTGGGTTATCATCATCATTTCCTCCTCCTCCTAATCTTCCTCCTCTTCCTCCTCTTCCTTTCAGATATTGGTTTAAATTTGTAAACTTGTTACCCAAACTTATTTATTAATTGGGTGGCCTATAAACTACATAAATGTATCCTCCAATTTTACTATGGTGTATACAGTATGTATGCAACAAATTTATTTTGCATTTTTATGCTGTTTCAAATATATAAATATGAAAATAATTTTACAACATGTTAATGATACACATGTAATTACAATAAAGTACCAATAAAGTACAATAAAAAGCCACTTTGGGGCCAATCACTGTATCTCAGCCCAATCTACTTCACAGTGTTGTTGTGGAAAAGTAGGAGGAGGCAGGTGTATTGGAAATGTTTTCCACCTTGAGTTATTTGTAAAACTCATAAAGGCAGAATATATAACAAACAAATAATATATTTTGAAAAGTACAGTAGATGAATTCCAGTCTGCTAGTCTTTTATATAACTCAATTAGTAGAACGAGTCAAAAACTATAGAAAAAAAGGAATAATATACCTTAAACCTTTCCCCTGCAATCTTTGCATTGATCTTTTAGTATCTGTACAGAATAAATACCATAACAGTGAACAGTGAATAGACATCCATAACACTGAAAATTCTTAACATGCATTAGCATGTCCAAATTATCCAGTTGTAAACAATTCTATAACTTGATTTTAAAGTATTATTAAACTTAAATCATGCTCATAACCAGCTGACCTCATTGTTCTGATCAACTAAAGAAAATCTTCATATTTGGAATAACTGAATTCCAAAACTTGAAATCATACTCCTATAGTACACAGTGTGGCACTCCTGGACTAGAAGACTTCCAAGGTCCCTTCCAGCTTCTATTCTATTCTATTCTATTCTATTCTATTCTATTCTATTCTATTCTATTCTGTTCTGTTCTGTTCTGTTGTGTTCTATTCTATTCTGTTCTGTTCTGTTCTATTCTAAACCTGTGTGCTAGTTGAGCACATAGGATGCTTCTGAATGTAATTGCGGGATTGCTTTTTACTTGATTATTTTCTTAAGAGTTCCTGTCTAGAAGAGATTTAATTTTATGACTTCACAAAACTGAATCCTTGAAGAGTGACATTTGGAAACATTCACTATTTCTTGAAATTTGCCTGGTTTCTATATGTAGAAGAGTAATAAAACACCATGTAGCCACTTATTAAAGTTTTAGTGTTCTTTATCAATTTGACTTCTTTCCTTGCATCAGTAATCTCCAGATCTTTGTGGCATGTAATGCCTTATTGCTGGACTAAGTGTATAATATCATTTTTCATCAATATGGTTGCACCATTGAATCTTGATATCATGATGGTACTATTATCATTTTCATTAGATCATTCTATTTTAATTAACATTTTGAATTCAGAGATTCTTGTTATAGCATCATAAATTTGAAACTAATATTCTCCAAGTAAGGTTTTATAATTTGAGGAATATATGGATCACAGTTTAAAGTAAAATTTCAGTATTGATAGTAATGTTTGTGTCTTTACCAAGAGTTAGAATATGAACTGTTGGCAATGCTATTTCATCCATGATGCTATTTTTCACAATTCTGCTAACAATTTCTAGAAATTCAAATTCTTACTGCTTCATGCACCTATGCTCTTCCATTTGACATTCATATGCTGGATGTAAACTCTGAACTATTCAGTTCAATAGGAAAGATACTGATAACCAGCAAAACACAACAAATACCTAGATTTCTTCTGGAGTTAAATGCTTGCATTTAAAATTAATTTGTTTTCTTCCTTTTTGGCTGGATCTTCAAACAGTGTGATGAGCAATTTTTCTCTATTTATTAAGTTTATTTGTTTGTTTGTTTGTTTGTTTTCTGGCCATTATACCATAGGGTAACTCTGGGTGGCTTATAATTATATTTTAGTTAAAACATAAAATGTTAAAATCACACCTTACAGCCACAGACACATGAAGAGGGCGGGGGAGGAGTGGGGGCAGGTGGAATCTGCTATTACTCAAACACCTCCATTGCCCTGATCCCCCACTGGGGCCCCAAGCCAACTGGCATAGCCACATCTTTAGATCCTTATGAAAAAATAGGAGGGTTGGAGCCAACCTCACATCGGGGGGCAGGATATTCCAGAGAATAGAAGCAAAAGCAGAGAAGGCCCTCCTCCTGGACCTGATCAGCCAGAATACTTGGGCTGACGGGACCCGCAACATGCCTCCTCTGCTGACATGAATGGTATAAGCCAATCCCAGCAGGGTGAGATGGTCCCTCAAGTAATCTCGACTGATACCATGAAGGGCTTTAAAGATGATCACTAGCACCTTAAATTGCACCCAGAAGCAGACCGATAACCAGTGTAGCTAGCGGTGATGCTACAGGGCCCATCTTTGGGGCGCCCGAAACTACCACGCTGCCATACTTTGCATCACCTGTAGCTTCCAAATGCTCTTCAAGGGCAGCCCTATGTAGAGCGGATTACAATAGTCCAGTTGTGAGATGACTAGGGATTGAATGACTGAGCACAGGGAATCCTGGCGCATAAGAGGAAGTTGTGCAAAAGCTCTCCTAGCCATGACTGCCACCTGTTCCTCAAACCAGAATTGTGAGTCCAGGAGAACCTCCAAGTTGCAGACCAGGTCTTTCTGGGGCAGTGCCACCCCATCCAGAGTCAAGGATGACAAAGTCTCGGATCCCAGATCTCTGAATACTCAAAGCCATTCGGTCTTACCAGGGTTCAGTCAAAGCCTATTGTCCCTCATCCAGCCCCCCACAGCCTTTAAGCACCATGAAAGGGTGGCTGCAGCATCACCTGGGTCACCAAGAGTGGAAATATAGAGTATATACAATCTATGTCATATAGATATGACAGATGAGACTATAAGAAATCGAGCTACCATCCATTCTTCAACCATTCTATATCTCTTTCAGAAGATCTATACCAGTTAATTTTGATAATTTGATTTATGTTTTACTTTTTTAAAAGAAATGTTAGTTGTCCATTTGAGTCAAATGATGGGGTATAGATTTGTATTAATCTACTGTATATGGTTGAATAAAAGAATAACTGTCATATAAGAGACAGTTCTGCTTTGAAGAATGGGGAAAACTTTGTTTTGTCCCTTTGTGGTAAGGTTATACATGCAGAGATAATATGTCTGCATGTATAATATGCAAATTATTTACAATTGTTATGAATAAAAATTCTCCACATTTTATTTGAATGGTACTTTATACAGTATTTAATCACAATGAATTTGTATATACAAGCATGCTTATAAGACTAATGTGTAACTATAAACAATATATATATATCATTATTCAGGCTTCACTTTCTTTGTGCTAGGGTTATGTTTCCTGAAAACGTCTCAAAAAGCATATTCATATAAATTGAGACACTGAAATGGGGGTTGCAGGGTATTGTAATAAATGTGCCCATAAATTTTAGAGCTTTATTCTTAAGCACTGCATCATTCTAACAAATTTCTTCTTTGTTTCCTGTTGTATGTACAGTGAAAGCATTTTCTGCATGTATCTTTAAAATTGGATTTCCAATGTGTACAATTATCATGGCAAAGAAAGAGGAAACATGACAAACCTTATTAGTATTCTTCATTGTGTTGTACCCAGTTTTGACAAAAACCATGTTTTTATCAAACATTGAAAAATAATGTCTGAACAGAAATTTGTGGCATTTCTAGAGTATTAAAGTTATTCAATTTAAGATGATTCAATGAAATGAATGGAATTTCTTTCTCCAGAATGAATATGAAAAATGCTATGAACAAATGCAGTAGAACGTTATGACTATTGGCATGATGAGTTTAAACAGACCTAGAGTTTTTTGATAAATATTTTATTCATATTGTTTTCCTTCCTTTTAGTGGCAGAGCATTACTGTAACTCTGGTTGAAAAGGTGCAGATGATTGCTGTAATTTTGGGATCACTATTCTTAGTAGCAAGTGTAACTTGGCTTCTGTGGTCGGCCTTCAGTCCCTATGCAGTATGGCAAAGAAAAGACCTCCTTTTTCAAATTTGCTATGGAATGTATGGTTTTATGGATCTAGTATGCATAGGTAAGTTAAAAAATAATACAGTCATTCATTTTGTTAAATATGGCATGTTATCATTTGAGTGTATGTTTTTGTATATCTGATTTACATACATGGTAGTTTCTAGAAATGGGGGAGTATTGTCACTTTTAGATATAACAAGATTTCAATTTTAAAGATGCAATAATTCAAATATACAATAATATTAAAAAGTTGCCTGATAATTACTCTTATCCACAATACCCATAGAGAAATCCATAATACTCTCAGTTTAAATTAAATTACAGCAGCCTTCAAGAATATCAAGGGACAATCAATCAGAGGATCATGGGTTACATACCTCTAGAACCACCCAAAATTGAATCTCTGAAATTTGGTAGCAAATTTTGAAAATTTTAAAAGAGCCAGGTTTGGTCTAGTGGTTAAGTCACCAGGCTAAAAACCAGGAGCTAGTAAATTTTAGTCCTCCATTAGGCATGAAAATTAGCTGGGTGTCTTAGGGCCAGTCATTTTCTCTTAGCCCAGCTCACCTCTCAGGAATGTTGTGGGGAAAATAGGAGCAAAAAGGAATATTTGGTATATTTACTGTCTTGGTTTATTTATATAAATAAAGGAGGGATTAAAAAAACTCTTTTAAAAATCACTAAAAAACAGTAATATTATTTACAGTGTGAATTAACAATATATATTGTTAATAATATATATATAGAGAGAGAGGTTTTCGCAGGTGTTTGTATGTAGGTCTTTGGTTATTCGGGTTTTCTCCCACGTAAAATTGGAAGTGTCTTGGCGACGTTTCGCCGAAGTCCCATTCATCGTCTTCAGGCTGGTGTTTTCAGCTTCGTGCTTCGAGGAGCAAAGCACAAAGCACGAAGCTGAAAACACCAGCCTGAAGATGATGAATGGGACTTCGTCGAAACGTCGCCAAGACACTTCCAATTTTACGCGGGAGAAAACCCGAATAACCAAAAACCTACATATATATATATATATATATATACACACACACACACATATATACATATATACATACATACATACATACATACATACATATATAAAATTTCTAATAGGAAAATGCCAAAAAACATAGAAGAAAGACTGGACCAAAATTTGACTTCACCTTTATAATTAGGTCTCTACATTACTACCTTATCCATTCTTTTGACAAAGAACACCTATTATATTATTAAAAATACTATAATTCTTAGAATAGTTGAATACATACGTATATAGTATTTGTATACAAATATTGGCAAAAATCCTACCAAATTTAATGATTTTTAACTATTTATTTCATTGAGCTATAGGGCACCCTTGGCAAGGTACTCAAATGTCTTTGGACCAGTGGACAACCTTCACATATTTCTGAATGATATGTATTCCATTCATTACAGATGGATAATCTGAATACTAAGCTATATTTTGCATAGATAACTATTTCATTGCTATTGGTTTTTGAGAACTACTTAATCATTTTCAATACAATTGATTTTTCAAGAAACACTTATACAATTCTTCCTTGTGTTAATTTGCTGAAGGGTATGCTTAGAAACAGCTAAAGGCCATGGAATCCCACAGATTCCTTTTTGTCTATCGTATTATTTAATAACATTTTGAAGTTATTGGTGAATACATAAATGGATATTTATTTTTTCTAATAAGTGACTTTCGACATAGCCTTTTCCATTAGATTTTAAACAGGTTATGATGTCCTAAAAAATGTCTAGAATCAATATAGAATAAAGTAGTGGAATAATGAATAGAATAGTTATTATATTATTTTGTATTTAATTTGCTTTGAATAAGATTGATCTTAACAAGAACTTTAAATGAGAAACAAGATGTTGCAAACAGTAGATGGATCTTTGACCAGGGATCTTGATCAAGTTTGCAACTTGGAAAAAGAATAAACAATTTCTGGGTACCCTGATAGTGAACTGGAGAATTGTTTGCATGTTTGCTACTGCCTTTCCACAAAACATTAGATCGAGCTACAATCACACATGACTCAATCACATCCAGATTAACTACTAATTTTCTGCCTTTAAAGCAGACATGTCAAACACAAGGCCCGGGGGCCGGATGCAGCCCGCGAAGTGGTTTCATGTGGCCCACGAAGCCATCCTGGAAACAGTGAGGGAACGGCCCCTGCTGCCTTGGCCTTGGCCCAGGCCAGCCGGGAGTTAATATACAGTTTTGTGGTGGCCATCTTGGCACTTGCCCCGGTCCCACCCCCTTCTGCCAGAGACCCTCAGTTCTGTCCCACTGCTGCCCAGGCCCCCACAGGCCCCCTTGATGCGAATGATGTAGAACTGACCACGCCCATCCAGTAGGCCACACCCCCTCCATCCACATCCACCCAGTAGGCTGCACCCACTCTGGCCACACCCATCTGCCTCCCCAAGGGCAACCACAATGCTGATGTGACCCTCAGTGAAATTGAGTTTGACACCCTTGCTTTAAAGTATCTATAAAAACTGAGCCTTTCATAATATGGTTGTGAGAAAACTATGCCCAGGAAAAAAAAAATGTACTAGCTAATATTGTACAATGTCTATTGATTTCTAGTATGACTTCAGCCCCAGTTCTCATTTTGCATTTGAATAGATGGTTAATATTGATATGTCCCCATTTTCATGTATTACATATATATATATCTCTCTCAATACCTGCCTGCCCATGAGATGGTATTCTTCTTTCCAACTCAAAAGATCCTAGTATTGAAAAGGAGAATGGAAGCATAATTCCTTTTCCTTGCAGTAATTCTGAGTGAGTCTGTGGAGACTATATGCCTTATCCCTATCCACAAACAGTTCTCCTCAGGAAAGCTGTTTTCTCTAGCATTAGCAGCAGAAAATGATGCATCTACTTTCCCAGGCAATTGATCAACAGGATCAATATCTGATGGGAAAGAGAAAAGCAATTTTCTATTGCTAATAGCAAAGGGAAAATAATAATAATAAGTTCCCTACCAGTTATTTGATTAGAGAGAAAAGCTGCTAGACATTCCCACAGTTTTGTAAGCTACATCTTTTGCAGCTAAAGGCTCTTCTAGTTGTTCTCCCACATATACTTTAAAGGTTTCTGTAAGGATGAATTCAACCAATGAACTGAAGTAATGCTTTGTTTCCTCACCATGTGAGATACTAGTGCTTATCTAAGTGCTTCTAGTAATGGAAATTCCTTCCCATAACAATTTTTTGCTTGCTGATATATAATAAAAATAGTTTAAATATTATTTGAACCCATTGAAAACAAATGTGCCTTTATTTCCATTGATGCTGATGTTCCTATTTATTTTATTTTATTTTAATAAATGATGATTGTCTCTTTATGTAGAGTTTTAACTTGCTTAGGAAAAAGTATCTGATGAGAACACTCCTAAAGAATTATGGTCTAGCTCAGGGGTAGGCAACCCAAAACACTCAAAGAGCCACTTGGACCCGTTTCCCACCGAAAACAAAACACTGGGAGCCGCAAAACCCTTTTGATATCTAAAATGAAGATAACACTACATATATCCTTTTTTACCTTTTATTTATATATATATAAAGATAAAAAATGATATATGCAGTATTATCTTTATTTTAGATGTCAAAAGGGTCTCTCTCTCTGTGTGTGTCTCTGTCTCCCTCTCTCTCTTTCTGCCCTTGATCTGCCAGTCCTTTTCCCCCACTCTTTCTTTCTCTCTCTCTCTTTCCTCTCTCTCTCTCTTTCTCTCCCCCCTCCCTCTCTCCGATCTTCTGCTCACCTGGCAAGCTGGTTTCAAGCTGTTCTCTAACAAGCTCAGGGATAGGCAACTTCGGCTCTTTTATGACTCATGGACTTCAACTCCCAGAATTCCTGAGTCAGCATAGCTGGGCTAACTAGCTCTCTCCTGCCCTTCCTGCTTCCTGTTTCATGCAGAGACGCAGCAAAGGGAGGAGCCACACCCAATAAGCTTTTCAGCTCCTCGGAGAACACCGTGAGTCCACTCTCTTTTACACACACACCACACACACACACACACACAGAGACACACAAACACAAAGAGACAGAGAGAGAAGCAGGGAAGCGCAAGTGTCTCTCTGTCCCCCCCTCTCTCTCTGCAAATGGCAGAGGAGGCTGGGAGCCACAAGGGAAGGCTCAAAGAGCCACATGCGGCTCTGGAGCCGCAGGTTGCCAACCTGTGGTCTAGCTTGTAGTCTTAGGACTCCCATATTGGGATTTAAAAAAAACCCTAGTTGACAACTACAGTATATTACAGCAAAAAGATAAAAAACTATGTATGCAATGGTATAAATTTGTGGTCTGGATTCTGAAGCCCGGGTATGATTTAAGCTTAAAATCATTTTCTACTGCTGCCAGCTTTGCAAACTTGGACTAAGTTTCAAAAGAAAGGATAGAGCCACAATGTGTAAGAAATCAATACCTTCTAAAAGTTGGGAGCAGAAAAATGAAGTACCAGATTTCTGGGAAGAGCACTTTATCTAGGCAGAAATAAGATGTTGCTCTGAATAGGTTGTGCTATAATTCTATAACAGTGGTGGTGAACCTATGGCACGGGTGCCAGAGGCGGCACTCAGAGCCCTCTCTGTGGGCACGTGCACCATCGCCCCAGTCCTAGGCCTTCAGCTGGATTTTATAAAACCTTTTTGCTTTAGGCCGCCGCTGCCGTGTGCAAAAAAAAAAAGGTTCAATCAGTTAATTTCAACTTCTCGCAGGGAAAAAAAAGATCTTGCAAAGTTGGAATTGATTGATTGAACTTTTTAGTCCCACCCAGTCTGCCATTACCACCGCAGCCATGCCCACCTAATGGGCCACGCCCACCCAACACCCGACAATGCATAAGTGGGTTTTGGGTTGCAGTTTGGGCACTCGATCTCTAAAAGGTTTGCCATCACTGTTCTATCATCTCTCTATAATCTCAATTCAACTGAAGCAGTATTGACTGTATTTGAGCAAAGTGGGAATTTCTGGGTTAAAGGGCTCATAAGGATTCATAAGGTACTGACATGATGTTTCTAAAAGTATAACTGAAA